GAGTGAAAGAGAGAGTACATGTGGGCCCTCCTTTGGCATCTCCTCAATTAAGGAGGCTAACAGGTAAAAAATTAAAAAATTAATAAAGTAAAATATTATATTTAATTTATAATTATTTTTTTTTTTCCTTATAAAAATTAAAAGAATTTAAAAACTTATTTTAAACAAAAACTTTTTAGTTTCAAACATTCCAAACCAAGTGTGAGTGTGGATGAAGTGAGAAAGTGGAAAAGGAAAGTGCTGTATTTTTGTAAAAGTTTGACAGGACTATCTGTCTATTAAATGAAGGATACCTACTATCTAACTGTGTTTAATTAATTTGGGGTTGGGGAAGTGAGTAGTGATGGGGTGATCTGCTATTCTGGCATTGTTTTCCTTTGCGATTACTTCTCAATCACTACTTGCTAAGGGATGGCATCTGTCGGTTGCCCCGCTAAATTCAGCTCCATATTTGATATTTTTAAGATGATAATAACAAAAATTATTAATTTTTTTTTAAGTACTAGAATTTTAATTAATTCATACCGTATTTTTATCTTTTAATAAATATTATTAGTTAGACATTTAGGTCTGCTTTGACATATACAAAAAAAATACAAAAAGTCAAAACATTATTAAAAAAATAAAAAAATTATCAGTATTTATAAAAAAATCTTTTTACATAAGCCAAGTACAACACATCTGATCAGTATTGAAGTGATGGTACACAAGCCAAGTACACAGGCCAAGTCACGCGGGTGCACAAAAAAATTTGCATAGGATGGTGTTGTTCGGTCCGTAGAGGCTCATTACGGGTCCCGTTTTAATAATTTGAAGCGTTCAATGTGTAGAAATCGTCGAGTACTATACATTTGTAAAAAATTACGTTGATCGGATATAAATAACTATATGATCAAATCATTTTTATAAAAAAAATTGGACAGTGAAGAAATTAACGGTTGAAAAAAAACTAATTTTATCAGATAGCTATCGATAACCGATCAATATGATTTTTTACAGACTTATAATACTCAACGAGTTTTACATATTGAACGGTTCCGATTATCAAAATGGGACCCTTGGTAAGCCTCACGGGACGAACAACACCATCCAATCCGATTTCAAACTGTAGGCAATCTTCTCCGATACTTGTTTACTTCCACCGCCTAACTTCCTGGACAATCCAAGTCAGTAGGCAATTCATTATAGTAGAGGTAAAATGGTAATGTTACTATTTTATTCCAAACAACCATTTTTTTCCTATACTTTTTAGTCTAAAAAGTTAAAAAACACACTTATTTAGGACATTCCAAACAATCCTTAGTCTATTAAATTCTAATTTTTATATTTAAAATATTTTATAGATAGTTTTATCCTTATAAATATTTTTATAAACTCTTAGTAATTTGGTGATGTGAATATTCATATTTGACGATGTGAATGTTTACATCACGGAACATTATACTATCAGTGCCAATATTAATATGTACTTTACCTTATTATTATTAGAGATATTTTGGTAATTATGTCATTTATAGAATTTGTTGAAACATAAAAAAATAATTTGAATAAATAGAATATAAGTAGGTGAAAAGAGATTTATGAATAACCTTTAAAAAAATTGGTTTGTCCATAAGTCTGATTGGATAGAGCTTTTGTGTTCATTTAGGGGTTGTTTGGGGTGTCTTAAATAAGTGTATTTTTTGTCTTTTTTGACTAAAAAATTGAGAAAAAAAATATGGATGTTTGGGTTAACTTTTTGATTTTTTTATGGAAAAATATGTATTAAAAAAATGTATAAATTAGTGTGTAGAGAAAAATTAAGATTGGAAATTGTGCAGCCGCAATTTTTTGACTTTTGGTGAATAGTGATAACTTGTTAACTTTTTATTGACTTTTTAACTTTTTTTTAACTTACCAAACTTTGCCTTAATATTCAGGTTAAATTTAAAATACAGAGCACTAACTCAATCCAACCCAATCCGCTCATTAATAAAATATTAATTATAATTTTGTATTATTTTAGTTATAAAATAAAGTAGAATACATATATATATACACACATATATATATAAGACAAGAAAAAATATATGTAGGTCTCGTTTGGGAATTTAATTATTTTAATTGATTTTTTTGACTATTTATGAGATGAAAAAAAAAAAAAAAAA